GAGCGATCGAATAAAAGCTTTGAATTTATAGCCAAATCCATAATAATGTGAACGTGCTATTGCAATTAAGCGAAATGACCGATCAATTTATGCAATTATTTTTGGTTTTATATACGAAGGTCATATTTCATATTTTCTATACACGGCTTTTTCTGCACACCGATTTCGCTCTCTCGTTCACAGAGATAGATAGAGAGAGAGAGAGAGAGAGAGAGAGAGAGAGAGAAATGACCAAACGGAGTGTGTACTGCTGTGCCACGACCCGAATAAGATAAAATGTGATCAAGCAGATTTTTTCTTCTAAATTTAACTTTACGCGGCAAATGTGTGGCCAAGAACGGAGAATGCACGATCCAGTTTGAGATAATATGTAATTTGGATATATGAGACAAAATGCTCGTAAACATACACATTTTCTTTGGATTATGTGCAACTTCTGTCGTTTTCTTTCTAAATTTGCTATCGAATTGATGCTTCGCAAGGATAAAGTCACATCGGATGACCATCATAAGATTGAGATTGAACTGAGAGTCATTCCAGCCTTCCGTCAACCAAGCCTTCAACCAATCGAGTCATTGAGACTTTATTGGTCGATTCATAGTTAATGTTTTAACCAGCAGAATAGAAAAGAGACACACGAGAAAGAGATTGGAAAGCTTTTATTGCTCATCATACCGAAGAGTGTTTTCGAAATTTGTAAGTACTTTTTGCGAATGAAAAGTGAAATTTCGAAATCTATGGTGTGAAATAAATTGAAATTGGATGATAATCCTGTTTGAAATGGAATTCGTCTTATTCGCCCCAGAATTTTCCATTTGTGTGCACATTAAATAACTGAATGATCAGTTGCTTGGAATGCAAACGATTCCATGTTTTTTTAATGCGCAAAAAAGTGTCAATTTGTGCTTAACCTTCCATTGATTACATCTTTCCCTGATATATCTCTCGATGACAAGTGGAATGCGAAAAAGGGGTAAATCGGGTAAATGAAGCCGAATCTGTATGAATAATAAAAGGTCAATTGGCATGTTTTCCAATCCATCCGTGTCCCATGAAAAATAAACAAAAACAAAATTGCGATAATGTGGAATTTGCAATTTGCCCTAATAAATCGAAAATGTTGCAGTATTTCGGGCTGCAGTTTTTATATCCATTCACTTACATCAAAGAGGTTTTCAAACATTCTTATTTGAAAAAAAAAAATCAAACTAAATTACAAACAACTGAGTGGAAGAGAAAGATATCTCGTTTCATTCCATAGTACATAGATACACCATCTCCAATGCACATAGAACCATTCCAATAGAACCTAGAATTCCAATTATCTCGATCGAGAATGTCATTTTCTACTCGATTGAAGATTCATTGGACTCGATTATTTTAGCCGATTTGTCTCGCGGATTTGCGCCCAGAAATGCGTCGCATAACATGTGACGATTCGATTAAATTTGATAGAAGAAAAATAGAAAACACACGCACGCACAAAATATTCTTCTCTCCGCTGTCCATCCACAAGGTTATCAAATTGACACCGTAAGATAATTTTGCACTGAACTGAACGGAAACCAAAAAATTCTAACCAATTGAGTCAGCTCTTTTTTGCGTATTTTCTGCGTGTGTAAAGAAAAAAATAATAGAAGGTGAAAAGGGTGTGTAATTGGTACACAGACGTGTCTCATTTTGGAATGTTAGCAAAATATCACTTGTTCTGTACCCAATAGATTAGGAGGCAAACAGCAGCATGTGTGCGTTGTTGAAATCGATCTATCTCGAAAAAAATAAATGCAAAATGTGTATCAACCGAAAGTGAATTGGTTTGTTTACCTCAAGTTAAAGCAACGGTGATGAAAACGCGACCAATAGTGCGCATCGTTTTTTTTCCCAGCACTCTCTGAGCGGCACTTGACTTCTTTGGGGATTTTATTTATACTCATATTCCGGAAGACAATTCAGTTTATTGACAACCATACTCATTGACATATCAAGCACTTGATCGATTGATGTCACACTACCGATTGTCAAATCAAGCATTTGTCTTGTACCGATCGCGTATAAAACCAAAACAAAGATAATGCAACGCAATTCAAAAGAAAATTGAGAGACAGAGAGTGAAGCAGAGTGCAGAAAAAAAAACGCGGCTAATTGAAATCATTCATCAAAAAAAAAAAAACAATCGAAGCAACTTGAACAATTCAATTTAAAATTCCTTTGGCTCAGATTATACACATACAACATCATACATACAGCAGTCGTTTGATTAATTTGTATGGTTTCGCGTGTGCACGCAACAAGACAAGAAAAATTCCGATTATTATCGATTGGGTTCCTTGTTTTATTGTTTTGGAGTCTTGGAATGTTGACATTTTGCTCCAATTTTTACGTCTCTCTCTTTCTCTAAAGACCAAATATCACTTCTCGTTTCTCACGCAAACGATTCTTCTTATCAATATCTTGAGCTAAATCACAAGGTAGATTTGTACCCCCGCCGCCGCCTTTACCGCGCATCTTCACATTCTCTGCTGAGTACGCATTAACTAAAAACGAAAGACCTTCGGCAAAAGCGATGAATGCGCTACGATCTCGTAAAAATGATAGTAAATTGAAGAATGAAAGGAATGTTTTCTCTCTCTCCGTGAGTGGGATACATTCAGCGCATGAAACAAACTTCATATTTTTCATTCCATTTCTTATGTAAACATCATTTACATTTCATTTTATCTAATCAAAGGAATTGAAATGGACTCGAACAATCAACATCCAATGCGCTGATTAGAGGAAAGACAAAGGAGAGTGCGCTCATGTGCATTTCGATGCGATATCAAAGCACGGTCTTGAAATACATCTTTGACTCAGCCCCACTTCACTTATTATCATCGTATTTATTAACGTTTTTGTAACAATTTTATAACAGTGTATATAATATAGGGCTTGCTCTCTTGGATATGAAGATCGTAGAAAGAACCGCACGTTTTTTGTCTCCATCGTTTTCAATAGTTTTTTAGTGTCTAGGAATGCGACAAAATGGCAACTGTCCAGAAAAAATACCGAACATGATTGGAAAAGAAAAAATGATGGTAAAAATTCCATTCTATATATTACACATGAATTTTTTTCGCACAAAAGTTGCCCTCTTTTGTGAAATCCCATATTTCATAGATAGATTACCGAGAAATCTCTGAGTGTTTCGGATTACAAATCCTCTGTGGTTTTTTTCCCGATAGCCTGATTCGATCGCAAAAATGCATTTGTGAGGGCAGAAAAATGGAAAAACAATCCACCTCTCGATTCAATTGGCACGGCGTCAATGTGGTGTTAGTCATGATCGAACGGCGCGGTGGTGGCGGCGGCGGCAGTATTTCACTGGAATTGTCTATAATTCAACAAAAAGTGACGACGTAAATGTGTCGCCGTGCCGTTCATTTTCAACAACATTTATAAAATTAAAAATCCAATCAAGATATTGACCGTGGATTGGGTCGACACACATTCTTTTGCTCAGTACTCTCACTTCATTGTTTATTCTTCACCGTATTTGTTGTTTTCGTGGTTTGTTTTTCATTAAAATCACACAAATTGCGTCACACACCTGTTCAAACACAATGATCCTAGATCTTGGTTTTGAAGCGCGCGCGAGATTTGTTTTTTGTGATATAACATTTCTAGAAAGAAATATATTTCTTGACATTGCCAAAAAGTCTTGCAATAAAAGTCCCCAGCAATAACGAAAATTGAATTGAGTACAAAGGAGAAATCAATGGGCTTGGACTTTTGTAAATCCGTTTTTTTTTTGGCGCTACACGTTTCTCAATTAAACAATGTTTGTATTTCAGTTTAATATATGACACATTATCGTAATTCGAATAAATTTATAGGGATTTTTCGCATTATCAAATCTCAAATCCAAGGTAAAAATCTGTGATTTTCATACAGATATGTCAGCGATTAGTTTTTTTTTTCTTAAAGAAAAGATGATTCAATTTTTGATTGAGAAAAATCATCAAAAATCATTGAAATATAATAAAAATGCCATAAAATTGTTTATGCCTGTCATCTCCTCGGAGACGAGAGAGCATGATTCAAATTAGCACAGGCTTGATTCAACTCTGAAGGCTTCCACAATGAAAACCACATGGATTCATTAATGGAAACGCATAAAACTGTTATGATAACAATTCCCATATGTTTATGTTTTCTGAATAAGAACAAGAAGATATGGCCTTAAATCCAGATTGGGCCAGATTTTTTTTTCCGCGCTTCAACAATTCAATCGAATTGAAGTACAAATTGTTTGACACTTCGTTGGATTTGAGCCACTTGTCTAATCTCGATCATTCAATTGACTGATGATGCTTTTAAGAATTTTACATCGTTCACGTGTGTGTGTAATTGTTTTCTGTGCCAAGAACAACTTGAACTTTCCACCGATAAAATCGATAACATAACAATCTAAACTTTAAACGTCTCTGTTGTAAGTGATATTGGGATTTTGCTGTTTAATGCTGTCGTTCATTTCTGTGCAACGCGACAAGTGTATCAAGGGAAAGAGAGATGTGCGTGAGATGCCGTGCCGTGGGAACGAGCGAGCGAGCAAGTAAGAGAAAGAGCAAGAATAAAAAAGAGTTCAGAATGCCCATCGTAATAGTTTATTATGCGTGTTGCTCAGTTGTTGGTTGCTGTGTGTTGTTGTAAAGCGGTTGTTCTCTCGTTGCCGTATCGTGAGAGGCGTGTGTGTACTCACGCAGTGATAAGCCCATATTTGCGTCCTATTCAGCAATTTAATCTTTAAACCGTTCATTTTTGTTAGTGATGATTGTTGTTGTTGTTGTTGTTGTTATTGATTAAATGGATTTTGACGTTTTGTCGCACACATGTGCCCTGTTCGCTCACTGTGTGCGTATGTTTTTTTTGGTTAATCTCAATTACATTTCACAAATTCACAAGTGGTTGAGAAAAAATGCGTTTTTAATTAGAAAAATGGTCATGCTGCTCTGGTTACTTACCATCAGGAGGTACAAAATCTTGGTATAGACGGTAAGCTGTGGTATCCTGCAAATAAAGAAAGCAAAAATAAGTATTAATGGTTTCATTGTGAAAATGTATGTCAAGTAAAGAATGAATGACAATTCTAATGATTCAAGGCGAAAAAAGTCAGTAGTAAGGGAGAGCACTTCGGTCCAACTTAAAAAAAAAATCAAGATGAAAGTATGCATTGCATCGTGTTTTCTTCAATCTTCTACTCTTCGAGTCATTCATTTATGACTTGTAGTATTTTGATGCTGAACGTTACTCCAGATAATGAAACTGAGATCGGTTTAAGAGATATGGTTTGCAAGCACCCGATCTCATTGTAATATTGCACACGTGACCACTGGACCTCAATTGGATGCTCACAACATGCATGTTACGACGACAAAAAAACACACCGCACTCTCATGTGTCACCGTTCAAACCAAATCGAAAAGCGCATACGAATCACTTTTAAATGCAAATAAAACGTTCGCATCCGCATTTTTGGCTTGATTCGCACATTCATGAGATTTGAGTGCTTTAAAACCGTCCAAGGATTTGTACACACAGAAGCCAAACGGATGAGAAAAGATATTGAGTGCAAATAACACACGAGAAAAAATAAACCGAAATAAAATATATGCCAACTGATTGTGTTGTTGTCCGACAACTTTATCTCGCTCTGTTTCATTCCATTGGATGCCATCGCACAAGTGAGGCCAGAAATCACAACGCAAAATTCAGAGAGAGAGAGAGAGAGAGATGAGCGGATTATTTTGAGCGCACACATAACAAAAGAGTGATGCCGCCTCTAGTCACGGCACACAATCAACATACAAAATAAGACATTTCATACTGAATAAATCTCTCGTAAAGGTGCTATTTTGTCGGTGAGGTGTTGAGCATTTTTTGGGTATAGGCCTGTGTGTGTGTGTAAAATATTCGCACCGCAAAGGTTTATGCGGCACAATCTGACAACTTTAATTTGATCCGTTATCAAATAGGCAAAACTACGAAATGACAACGGTTAGTTTTTCGGGCCGTAACAATCTTTTTCAAATGCCAATTTTCGTGTTGCCTTTTTGGATGGGCCATGATAAAGGTATCCCACTTTATACCTGTCCTAGAAGTATGGGGAAATTTTCTCTTGATATCAGAATGAATAAAAGGCAGAAAGAAAGAAATCGGCATTCTATTGCACATTTTCACTTGAAACCACATCCCAGTCAAAAAAAGTACGAGAAAAAAAGATTTCGGTGGAACGTCCAGTCGCTTATCAGTCAAACCAACACATCGGAATGAATTTTGGAAAACGAAATTCCCTTTTATTTTCGGTTGAATCACTCATTATCTGATGTGAACCGAGATTAAATACGTGCAATTATTCAATCCAAAAATCGAGACATTTTTCGCTTTTCTTTCTACGTTACACAAACGTACATTTTTACGGCAAATAATCTATAATTTTTTAGTCATAAATAACAAGTCTTTTTTTTCTCGTTTTGATCGGATTATTCATTCATAGACACACACAGTGATTTTGATGCGTCATATTGTATGAACATAGTATTTGAATGAGCGAACAACAACAAAAGAAATGTTGCCATTCTTGATGCCACTTAAACACTCTTGGCAAATCGTTCAAAGTCAAAAACTTCCATTGAGTTATTCGTCCAACGGCAAAATCCCTTTGTTAATCAACTCGGGATGGCTGTTTTGTTCCAGCTATCAGACCGTAATGAGTGTCCAATTGAATGAGAGGCGGTCAACGTCGAGTTCATGCATATTATTGTATAACAACACAAGCCACCGCATGTGGGTGTTATGCATGTGATTCACTCGCTGTGACGTTCAATTCTTCGAACGGCTGTGAACGTGATGTGTTGACACAAAGGGCCAAAAACTGTGATATTATGTTATCAGACACGCGCACATCACACGTATCATAGTACATAGTAGAACAGAATGTTTCTCTCTTAAGTGTCGTTTAGTAAATTTCCGAAATTGTGATTTCAACGCGAAGGTTTCTGTTTTTTCTTCAGAAGTTTTTTTTTTTGATACGTTCAGTGTCTGTCTATGTCTTTGTTTTGATTCCTTGAACCGTTTCTTGAATATTCTTTTGAGTATATTGTTTTGGAATAACAGATTTTTTCATTGCCAATTTTCCAAGAATTTAGTAATGTAAAAGTTTGATTCAAATTAGAGCAAAAAAAAGAAGCAAAATAACGTCATCCACGCAGATGGTGTTTATGAAACTGGAATAAATGTGAACTTCACATTTATGAAGTCCAATCGGCCAATTTGTTTGTGAAACAAACTAAAGCAGAATGCGCGTATAGTGAGAGAGCGATAAGTAAATTCCGATTTAAGTTGCGTCTTTTTTTTCTGTTGTTCTGTTCATTTATCGTTTATCTTGTGTTCATTGGGTTGAAGTAGAGCCAGGCCGGCTTGAATGATTACTACTACATCTGCGGTGCGACGCACTGATCAATATGCAGGAATTAGTCCCATGATTATTATCAAGGCAACAACGAAAAAAAAAAAACTCATACACACTGTCTGTAATCGCCATCGTTGAGACACTGCCATAGAAATTGCGTGCATATGTTAGAGTGTGGTTAGTTGGGAACGAGAGAGAGAGAGAGAGCCGATTCAGCCACTTCAGCCATTGCGCTTATATTTATCCATTCGTTTGATCGCACACATTGCGTTTGTTCACATATTCGTCCCATTCATATTGTTTATCCTATCAATTTATTATGAAAGGCAAAACAATCCGTCTACTACCATTTCTCATTACCACCAACAAAATATGAGTGGTACGAAGCGGAAAATTAAGATCTTGTCTCGTATGCCAATGCAAACAGAGAAACGGAAGAGAACGAGAGAGATAGAGAGAGAGAACGCGTCCAAATTGCATAGAGCAAGAGGAGTCAATACGTTTGTTCGCATTGCATTGAGTTTACATGAAATTTTAAGTAATAACCCTATTTGCCACGCTACATTTGCGCAATATTCCGTTTGCATCACTCACACACAAACACATTTCTTCCTCAATGTCACGATATACCGACGAACGCTAATCGAAGCGAACGAGCGAGCGAGCGAGTGAGAGCAAACGAAAACACGAACATAGCACACATTTGGCACATTGAAATAATCTGGAGATTATAGAAAAGAAAGAAATAATACGGGTAAAGCGATTGGGCCAAAGTGACTGGCTTTACTAGAAACATACGCACACTCACATCGCATCACAGACTGCAAGCATATGCACATCTATGTCTAGTATGAAAAAAAAAATCATACATAATACTTCTAGAGAGTCAAATGGCAATTAGGCTCAGGAATTTTATCAATTTCAACGTTATTTTTTTTTGTTTTGTTTTGTTTTGCTTTGTTTTGTTTTGGTTTTTTTTCTCTGCTATTGCCGTTCGTTCGGTCTGTATGTGAATTGGTTTACAGGGCTTTCATTCTATCTCTGTCTACGATTATTATTTATTTGCCGTCAATTTTTCTTTTTCATTTGGTCAGTACATTGTTCGATAAAGGGAAATATTTTCAAGTGTGCAATCGGTAGAATACAAAAAAAAGAGAATACAAATCAAAGTGTTACGAACTGATATTGACCGTAAATGCCTCTCGTTTTTTCGCTTTCTTTTTACATTGGTTGTTAATGGTTTGTTATGCTGGTTTTTTTTTTCAATTTCTTTCCATTTATTCATTTTCTTCTGTTTTCCTTTCAAGAAGTCCCTTTAATTATTTAATTACTATTATTTATTTAATGGCTTTAGTTCAGTGAAGCTGTCCGTACTGTTACGAGCGAAGCGACAGAAGCAATGAAAATATCAATCGTCACTTACGTAATACTTCGACACGTTCGATTGAGTCGAAGTGTTTATTCGATAGCTCCTACTATAAACAGAACATATACCAACATATATAACATATGACTCATGTTGCGTATGCAATCAAATTTTACACATGTCAAGTCTATATAAATCTAGGTCACTGGTTTTGACACCACATTTTGTAGATATTACCGCTATAATTTATTCGCGCAACCAAAAAATGAGCACCGCAGAATCCTTAGAACAATATTTGGTGTTGTTATAAAGAGAGATTTAATGTCTATGCTACGTATTCTGTTGTCATTCGTTGCGATTAGAACGTAGGGCAAAGAACATGATGGTCGGTCTTGTCGCCATAAATCAAAATGAGCGCGAATGAATAGTCATTTTCATAGGTGTAAATAAATGGATTACATAAAATCGAGGGGAATTAATGATAATTCCTATTTGTACACGCTACACAGACATAAGAGTACGAAAACGCCAATTATATAAATGGCAAATTTTGTTTCGTGACAATTTAATTTCAGTGGGTTTTTTTCTGCACCACTCAGAAATTGAAATACGACTTTCTTCCTTTTCTAGTTAATTTTTTTTGGCAGTTTTATTTCTTACTCCCTCTGTTTTACTTTTCTTTCTATCATTTCTTCATTTTTTTCATTTCTTTTTCTTTCTTCATTTTCTTCGTTATTAAAAACATTGATTCCATTTATAAAAATATCATTGAAATGACTTAATTGTTCTAAAGGACAATTCGAATCAGACAGACTTGGATTATGAAGAGAGAAAATCGTGTACACTTTAAGCATTGGTCGACCGATGACTTCCGTAAAAATTTGTTGATTCGCAAGAAAGAAAGAAATCGTCAATTTTCACTAATCCTCGTTCCAATTATCGTCCAGTTCTCAATTGATGTCTGGCTTTCCGTAATCCTCGATTGACGGCGTGTCGAGGCCGAATCCAAAGTGAAAAGTGTACAATTGGAATCAGTTTAGTAACAATTGCGTGTAACAATAGCATTAAAACCATTACAAGTGGATTGCATATTAATTTGAAACCTACACATGTGTTCATCGACGATAAGGCAATGAAGTACGGCATATTGGAACCATAGAGAGGGAAAAAAACTATCGTTTAGGAACTTCAAACGTAGCCAAAGTCCGAATATGTTGAAAATTCTAAGCCTGA